AAATTGCTCAGGAACCTACCTCAACATAATAAAGGCCCTATATGACAAACCCACAGCAAGTATCAATCTCAACAGTGAAAAACTGAAAGCATTTCCTCTAAGATCAAGAAGAAAAGAATGTTCACACTCATCACTTTTATTCAATGTACTTTTGTAAATTCTAGTCACGCAATCAAAGAAGAAAAAGGAACAGAAGGAATCCAAACTGGAAAAGAAGTAAACTGTTATTGTTTGCAGGTGACATACTATACATAAAAAACCCTGAAGATGCTATCAGAAAACTACTAGAACTCATCAATAAATCAATTATATTGTAGGTTACAAAGTTAATACACAGAAATCTCTTGCATTTCTGTACACTAAAAACAGAAAAATAGAAAGAGAAATTAAGGAAACTATTGCATTTACCATCATATCAAAAAGAATAAAATATCTATGAGTAAATTCATCCAAGGAGGCAAAAGACCTGCACTCTGAAAACTATGAGGTAATGATGAAAGAAATCAAAGATGACACAAACAGATACACAGATATACCATAACCTTGGACTGGAAGAACTTATATTGTTAAAATGACCAAACAACTCAAGGGAATTTACACATCCAATGCAATCCCTGTCAAATTATCAATGGCATTTTTCACTGAACTAGAAAAAAATTTTCAGTTTGTATGGAAACACAAAACATCCTGAGCCAACATAATCCTGAGAAATAAAAATGGAAATGGGGGAGTTGGGCTACCTGACTTCAGATTGTACTACAAAGCTTTAGTCATCAAAATAGTATGGTAATTGCCCCAAAACAGAAATACAGGTCAATGGACTAGGACAGAAAGCCCAGAAATAAACCCTGCACCTGCAAACAATTAACCTACAACAAGGGAGGCAGGGATATACAATGGAGAAAAGACAGTCTCTTCAATAAGTGATGCTGGGAAAACCAGATAGCTACATGTAAAAAAAAAAAAAATGAAATTAGAATATTCTTTTAATACCTTACACAAAAGTAAACTTAAAATGGATTAAAGACCTAAATATAAGACCAGATACTATAAAACTTTTAAAGGAAAACATACACAGAACACTCTTTGACATAAACCACAGCAAGGTCTTTTTGGATTCAACTCCTAGAGTAATGAAAATAAAAGTAAAACCTAATTAAACTTAAAAGACTTTGCACAGCAAAGGAAACCATAAACAAAATGAAAAGACAACCCACAGAATGGGAGAAAATATTTGGAAACAATGTTACTAACATAAGGGGTAAACCTCCAAAATGTAAAAACAGTTCATGCAGTTTAACATCAAAAAATAAACAAATAAATGGGTCAATACACCGAAATCTCTTACAGAGAATTTCAGTCAGAAGACATAAAGAGACATTTCTCAAATGAAGACACACAGATGGCCAAAAAGCACAGGAAAAGATGCTCAACATCACTATAACTACAATGAGGTTATCACTTCACATCAGTCAGAATGATGATAGTCATCACCGTTAGTCTACAAACAGTAAGTGCTGGACAGGGTGTGAAGAAAAGGAAACCCTCCTTCATTGTTGATGGGAATGTAAATTGGTACAACCACTATGGAGAACAGTATGGAGGTTCTCTAAAAAACTAAAAACAGAACTACCATATGATCCAGGAATCCCACTTCTAGGCATATATCTGGAGAAAATCATAATTCAAAGATATAGGCACTCCAATGTTTTCAGTGCAGGTCTATTTACAATAGCCAAGGCATAAAAACTACCTAAATGTCCATCAACAAAGGAACGGATAAAGAAGTGGTGTGTGTGTATATATAAATATAAATATATATAAATATACACATACATACAGTGGAATATTACTTGGCCATAAAAAAGAATGAAATAATGCCATTTGTAACAACTGGCATGATAGGTATTATCATACTAAGTGAAAAAAGTCAGAGGAAGACAAATATGTATCTCTTACAAGTGTGATCTAAAAAAATGATACAAATGAACTTATTTACAAAACAGAAACAGACTCACAGACTTCAAAATCAAATTTATGGTTACCAAAGGGGAAAAGGGTATGTATGTGTGTGTGTATATATATATATAAAAATAGATAACAAGGACCTACTATGTAGCACAGGGAACTATATACTCATTATTCTGTAATAATCTAAGCAATAAAAGAATCAGAAGAATGGATGGATATATATGCATAACTGAATCATTCTGCTGTATACCTGAGAGTAACACGATATTGTAAATCAACTATACTCAAATATAAAATAAAAATTAACTTAAATACACAATAAAATATTGAATAAATGTTTTTAAACACTAAAAGAATAAAATTCCTAGCCTAGATAGTTTCACTGGAAAAGTCTACCAAATGTTTAAAGAATTAACTAACATCAATTCTAAACAATCTCTTCTAGAAAACAGAAGGAAACTTCTCCGTTCATTTTATGAAGGCAGTTTACCCTGACACCAGTATACAAAATGAAAACTAAAAACCAATATTGTTTATGAATATGGATGCAAAAATCCTGAAACACATTATTAGAAAATTAAAATCCAGTCATATTTAAAGACACCATGACCAAGTGGGATTTATTCTAATGATGCAAGGTGGTTCAGTAACTCCCGAAGTTAATCAATGCAATCAACCAAGCTAAAGAAAAAACAGCATCTGACAAAATTCAACACCTCTTTATGATAAAAATATTCAGAAAAATAGAAATAGAAGAGAATGTCCTCAACTATAAAAAAAACTACAGTTAACAAAGAAAGATGACATCTACTCTCATCACTCATTCAATATAGTGCCAGCCAGTGCTAAAAATTTTAGCCAGTACAATAAAGCAAAAAAGTAAATAAAAAGTGTATAGATGGGACTTCCCTGGTGGTCCAGCGGCTAAGACTCTGCGTGCCCACTGCAGGAGGCCTGGGGTTTGATCCCTGGTCACAGAACTAGATCCCACTTTCCAAAAGTAAAGATCCCATGCACCACAACTAAATCTAAATAAATAAATAATTATTTTTTTTAAGTGAATAGATTAAGAAACCAAGAAACGAAACTGTTCCTATTTGCAGAAGACATGACTATGTATGGAAAAACAAAGAAACCAACTCCTACAAATTCCTACAGCTACTAAGTGAATTCAGCAAGGTCATGAGATACAAGATAAATATATATATTTTTTAAAGTCAATTCACTAGCAATGAGTATGTGGACAATGAAATTAAAACTTAAATTCCATTTACAATCACTCAAAAAACTGAAATACTTCAATGTAAATCTGACAAAACATGTACAGGATTTGTATGCTGAAGAATATAAACACTGATGAAAAAATTCAAAGATGATTTAAACAGAGTTGACTTGAACAATACAGGGGTTAAACCACATAAATTTAGTCAACTCTCTGTATCCACAGTTCTTATCTGTGGATATCTGTATCTGTATCTGTGGAATCAACCAACAATGGACTGTGTAAACAGTAGATTTAACTACTGAAAAATATCTAAATATAGGTGGGCTCACACAACTCAAACCTGTGTTGTCAAGGGGAAATTGTAAATGAAGAGTCACACTGTGTTCATGGACTGTAAGACTCAATACAGTGACCATGTCAATCTTCCTCAAATTGACATTCAAATTTAATTTAATTCCTATCAAATTCTCCAAAGACTATTTGTAGATAGAGTTAAGGTTACTCTAAACTTTATATGGAAAGGTAGAGGAATTAGAATAACTAAAACAATCTTGAAGACTTTAGATAGCTACAGTAATCAAAACTGTGTGGTACTCCTGAAAGGATAGACACATAAATCAACAGACAAAACAGAGATCCCAGGAATATATGCACAAATGTGCTCAGCTGTGTTTTAAACAAAGTAGCAAAAGCAACTGGGTATAAGAGAAAAAACCTTTCAACAAATAGTTGCAACTAGACCAACTGGACATAGAGAAGCAAAAACAGAAACTGACCTAAGTCTCATAACCTATAAACAAAAAATAACTGAAGAGGAAATCTTTTAAGGAAAAAGAAAAAAAGAAATTCTTTGGGTTCCAGGCAAAAACATCCTAGAACTAATCCTAAAGTTACAGTCCATAAAAACAGTAATTGCTAAGTTAGACTTCACAGAAATTGAAAACACTTGCTTTGGAAAAGATCCCATTAAGAGGATTAAAAGACAACCCTACAGACTAGGAGAAAATATCTGTAAACCACACACCGGACAAAGAACTAGAATACATAAAGAATTCTCAAAATCCTATAATAAATTAATAAAAAACACCCAATTAGAAAATTGACAAATCGTCATAACTTGAGGTCAAATTGTTCGATGCTATATCCCATGGTTTTATGACTAGTTATTTTACATATTAATGAGGAGCATTGAAATATTCAAATATAATTATGGATTCATCTTTCTCCTCTCAGTTTTCTCAGATTTGCTACATGTACTGTAATTGAAGTTTTATTTAGGTTCACACACTTCTAGGGTATTACATCCTCTAGATGAATTTAGCCTATTATCATTATGATTTCTACCCTAACATGCTCTTGATTGGTGTTTGTCTGTATATCTTTCTCCATCCTTTTGCTTTTAAACCATGTGTTTTCATATTTAAATTATGTTTCTTGTAGACAACATCGTTGCATCATGCTTTTTGATGCAGTTTTTTGATGTTGTCTGGGTCTAGTTTTTTTATCTAGCCTGAAAATCTCTCTTTTAAATGTAGCATTTATACCATTTACATGTAATGTAACTATCAGTATGGTTGGGTTTAAATCTATTATCTTTCTACTGCTTCATCTCAAAATAATACTCTTCTCTATATTAACCTAGAGAAGGAAATGGTGACTCATCTAGTATTCTTGCCTGGAGAATTCCATGGACAGAGGAACTTGCTGGGCTGCAGTCAATGGGGTCACAAAGAGTCAACATGCCTGAGCAACTAAAGCTTTCACTTCCACTATGTTCATTATTCCTTCATTTTCCAAAACTTACTTCTAGTTTCTTCTTATGTATTTCAGCTTGTTCTTCCTGGTATAATTCCTGTCGCACTTGTTCTAAATCTTCACGTTGCCGCAGCATTTCTTCCAACCTCTGAGTCAGCTATTAAAAAAAAACAGACATAAAAACATGTATAGGAATCAAATTCTAAGACAAATATTTAAGAATTTCTCCAGTGTTAAAACAATTATTTTAGTACCATATTTTGAAGCTGTAGTCTTTTTTCTTCACTTTCTTGAACTTTCGCCATTCGATCTTCTTCTCTTTGTTGCTGCAACTTGGCAAACTCTATTATTTTTCTATTTTCTTCTTCCATCTCCTCACGTTTCTTTTTTCTCCAGAGAGCCTGCTCTTTCTGAAACTCTTCTATATACCTTCGAGTTGTATTCATTTTCTCTAACCTTTGCTGTCTTTCCCTAAAAAGTAATAGTGAGTGCAGTTCTCACAGGAGTAACAGAAATAATAATAAAAAAGTAAAAACCATGAGTGTCATTTCTTTTACATGTCTATCAAGGAAACAGAACAGAAAACAAGTTCTCCTGACATGCGTTTACTGAAGGAAAAAAAGGTTTAGTCACTGTTACTTAATAAGTAACTCTTAATTATCAATTAATTGTTATACAACAAAGATAAGTAAGACTTGGTCTCAGTTTAGGTCATAACATTTACTGAGGACTTACTGTGTATCAGGCACTTCTTAGGTGGTTTATTCTTCATGACAAGCCTGAGATAAATCTAACAAATGTTTAAGCACGTTTAAGCATGAAAGAAATTTGGGGCAAACTTACAACTGATCTTCTTCATAGATTTTCCTAACAATTTCATCAACCATGAGCTTCTCTTTCAGCAACTGCTCATAAGCTTCCTGCTTTTTCTTCTCTTGTTCTTCAAGCTGTTTCTCTAAGTCATGACTGTACTGTGCTTTTACTTGGTTTCGTTTGTCCTCTGCGGCATTCTCTTCCTTTATCAACCTCTCGTGCTCCTCCATCATCGTTCTGGCTATTTCAGCATCACGTTTCTGTTGTTAAAACAAAATTCATCTTTCCATTATCAAATCTGAGCAAAATATGACAGAAAACTTTTAGCACATGGAACTGAATACTATGAGGCCTATTTCATAAAATATTTTCATCTGTGTAGACAAAAAGCAAAGGTAAGTCACTGTCATCTGAGGGGTTTGAATGAAAAGTAAATGAATGAAAAGCAAACCCTAAAGAGCCTTTCCTATTTCTTCAAGTAGCTCTCTCAGGGCAATAAGGTGAATAACTTCACACTTGAAAAACAATAAGTAAAATTAGAAGTGCTTCACTAACAATTATGTTAATTTCCAAAGCAACAGTCATCTTCCTCATCTAAAAAAGTTGATGTAGGTAATTTTCACAAATTTTAGCTCCACTGGGTACTGGCTGCTATTTAGAGTAAGGATGGTGCTATCTTTTTTATACCTGTCTGCTATTAAATAGCTCTGAGCAACTCAAGTTCTCTCAGCCTAAATTTTCTTTGCTGCCAGTGGCCTTTGAAATCTCCCCTTTCTCATTTATTAAAGGCCCTTTGAAATAACTTTAACTTAAAAAAAGGGTCACATACATCACCGTGTCTGTTTTCTGAGGTTTCAATTCACTCTTCAAGACCATTCCTTCTGAATGAGACACAATCCTGCATCTTGAATGGGTTACCCTGATTTTTTTTGAGCATTTTGAAATCATTTAACAAAATGGTTTAACGTAAATATACCAGGCAGTTTAAAAAGTTATCCTTTACCATTATGATCACATCCCAAATGCTAGAATGGTTAGCAGCATCAAACACAAAATGAGAAACAGATAAAAATATGAAGGTGAACGGTGGCTATCATCAAAAGATCCACAAACAATAAATGCTGGAGAGAGTGTAGAGAGAAGGGAACTTTCCTCACTGTTGGTGGGTGTGTAAATTGGTGCTGCCACTAGGAGAACAGTATGGAGGTTCCTTAAAAAACTAAAAAAGAGCTACCATATGACCTTGCAATCCCACTCCTGGGCACATTTCAGGACAAAAACATGATCCAAAAGGATGCATGCACCCCAATGCTCACTGAAGCACTACTTACAATAGCCAAGACATGGAAGCAACCTAAATATCCGCCGACAGAGGAATGGATAACGATGTGGGACATATATACAATGGAATATTACTCAGCCATTAAAAAGAATGAAATAATGCTATTTGCAGCAACATGGATAGACCTAGACAGTGTCATACTGAGTGAAGTAAGTTGAACAGAGAAGGAAAAATATCATATGACATTCCTTATACATGGAATCTAAAAAGAAATGTTACAAATGAACTTACTAAACAGAAAAAGACTCACAGACTTAGACAATGAGCTTATGGTTGCAGCAGGGGAAAGGATAGTTAGGGAGTTTGAGATGGACATGTTCATACTATCATATTTAAAATGGATAACCAACAAGGACCTACAGTATAGCACAAGGAACTCTGCTCAATGTTATGTGGCAGCCTGGATGGGAGGGGAGTCTGGGAGAGAATGGATACATGTGTATGCATGGCCAAGTACCTTCCCTTTTCACTTGAAACTATCATATCATTTGTTAATTGGCTATACCCCATACAAAATAAAAAGTTTAAAAAAATAAAATATAAAGGCTAATGTTAACCCTAATTAAAAGATACTTACTCCTTGGAAGGAAAGTTATGACCAACCAAGACAGCATATTAAAAAGCAGAGACATTACTTTGTCAAAAAAGGTCCATCTAGTCAAGGCTATAGTTTTTCCAGTAGTCATGTATGGATATGAGAGTTGGACTATAAAGAAAGCTGAGCGCCGAAGAATGATACTTTTGAACTGTGGTGCTGGAGAAGACTCTTGAGAGTCCCTTGGACTACAAGGAGATCCAACCAGTCCATCCTAAGGGAAATCAGTCCTGAATATTCATTGGAAGGACTGATGCTAAAGCTGAAACTCCAACACTTTGGCCACCTGATGCGAAGAACTGACTCATTTGAAAAGACCCTGATGCTGGGAAAGATTGAGGGCAGGAGGAGAAGGGGATGACAGAGGATGAGATGGTTGGATGGCATCACTGACTCAGTGGACATGAATTTGAGTGAGCTCCAGGAGTTGGTAATGGACAGGGAGGGCTGATATACCACAGTTCATGGGGTTGCAAAGAGTCAGACATGACTGAGCGACTGAACTGAACTAAATGTCATTCCTGATCTAACTGATGCCTTTAACATATACACTGTAAATGTTACTTGACTCAAATTCCTTCTTTCCTCTGCTTTCTTAGCACATATTATACTAGGATCTACAGAAAAAGTATGACATGACAAAAACATGTTTGTACAAATTACCACACACTTACAGAAATACAATAATCTTATTTCACAGATAAGAAAACTAAGGCTAAGAGAGATACAGCCAAAACTAGCACCTAAATATCCTGACACCTAGTCAAGTCTAAGAGTATTTGATTTAATTTTTGTGGCTCAACTTTATTTAGAAAATGATAACAAGTTTTTCAATAACCAGAGTAAATATCTACGATTGCCCTGATTAACTACAATTATCAAAATAATTAAAACTGTAATCTTCTGTTCAAACTGTACATCATGTTCTACTTTAAAGGGTAGAATATGGCTTTTGGAGTGACATTTCCTTACCCTCTCTTACCATCTACCACACCAAAGGCTATCATTGTTAACAGCATGCCGTATAATCCTCTAGATTTTTTCTGTACTAACATACATGCACACATGTGTCACAACAGCCAGCAACTGTTCTTATCTGATGCTTATATAACACTGCACTGGTTAAGTGTTTTGATATCACTCCTCTAATTGTATGTGTTTGTTGATATACAGAACATATATATATATGTGTGTGTACAGATAAACACAGATGTTGTATACACATACCTATTTGCATAGGTTTTCAAAAATAAAAATGGCCTATAAAATGGTCAATAAAATGTATTATTTTCCAACATGTTTTTTCACACTTGCTATTTTTCCTTTTAACCTAGAATATATTCTGGCCAATTTTTAAAGCCAGAATATTTGCCTTTACCTCTTTCTGTGTGTGTGTTTGTGCTCAGATACATCTATTTCTTTTTGACCCCATGGACTGTAGCCCGCCGGGCTCCTCTGTCCATGGGATTTTCCAGGCAAGAATACTGGAGTGGGTTGCAATTTCCCACTCCAGGGGACCTACTCAATCCAGGGATCGAACCTGTGCCAACTGAATTAGCAGACACATTCTTTACCTGCTGAGCCACCAGAGAAGCCCTTCTCTCTAATAGCTGTAAAACATCTCTGAAAGGGATCTAGGAGAGAGGGATCTCTGCTATTAAAATGCTCTACAAAATAATAGAGAAATGAAAGTGAGGGAACTTAAAAGACTATGTAATACTGCCATCAGACCTTTTCATCTATGTCTAGCCTGAGTGACAAGAAGAATTCAAGTGATGATGTACATGCAGCTTGTAAGGGTTAATAAACCTTATTTTAAATTAAACTGTGTAACACTACTGCCGAGTGTGTCTGAAACTCCTTTGCCCAAGAGTAACTATTACCAGTAATAATGGGCAGTAGGTCAGGATTAAGAAAAGAGGAAAAAATTATAGGAAATCATGAAAAGAAAATATTTCTGTTTATAAAACAGAAAAGTTTCCCACCTAAAGTTACAGTTGATTTTTTAAACATTTAATAAATAAAAAATTTAACAGCATTCTAAAATACACTGATCATACTAACAACCTGTATTGGTTTGCCAAAAAATAATCAGTTAGACACCATTAAGAATGCTGGGAATTACCAAATATAGATGTTCATTTTAACCAGCAACCTAACTCTCTGTGTCTCTGAAAGGTTCTAATATTAAATTACAAAGCTCAATATCCATAATTTGCTACACCATAACAATCTAAAAACTATAAAATTATTTGAGAAATCAAACAGTGTAAATTCTTTATAGAATGCAACAATTTTCTAAAAATTGGTATATTTTTGCTTTTCTAAATGAAGCTAAAAATATGGAAAACATTATGACCAGAAACATGATTACCATTTGCTCGTATTTAATGGCATCCTTTTCAGCAATTTGAGCTGCTCTTTCTTTATTCATGTAAGCTGCTTTTAATTTCTTTTCCAATTCTCTGAGCTCAGCACTGTTTAAAGAGACAGAAATTTAAATTTGAGGACCACACATCTCTACTATTTTAAAAATAATATCCACAATTTAAAATAAATTTTTTCTAAATGTGTAAAAGATATTTACATTATTTTTTAGATATTTTGGAAAAAATACCCCTTTCTCCAGTTATCCCAAGAAAATCAGAATGCATGTGAAATGAGACATTATAATTAATTTTTCTAGACAAAACGACCTTTTTATTGTCAATAATCATCACTAAAAATCTTTTTGCTAGTGCCGGGCTCAGAAAAGGTGCTATATCAATATAAGTTAAAATTTCTGTGCAGTTACTAGTACTATTAGGCTAAAAGATAATGTCAGCAGAGAGGTTTAAACCTATACATGTTACTTCTTACCTTTTGTAGCTTGGCTTTGTTGTATATAAAAGGGGTAGCTCTGGCAATTAAATGAGTTAATGTGTATAACAGCAGACACTCCACATATGGCAACTATTTTTTGATGATGATGAAGAGGGAGTAACATGGGCAACTTTACTTCACTTCTCTGAGCTTGCTTATTTATCTCTTAAAAAATGGGGACTGACTTCAGATACTCTCTAAATTACTTTTGAATCTATCACCCTCCTAAATGTAGTGAAAACAATATGCCATATAAAAATTTTTATTTTAATATGCCAGCCATAATTCTGAATATGACAGAATATGAGAATTCTGAGTTGGAAGGACTGTGAGATGTCACCAAGATGTACAGGTTAATTCTTACTGGAACAAAGAGGCACTCACCTACCTATAAACTCAACTTACAGGTACTCGGTACCTACAAAGAAGCAGTCATAAAGGGTAAGGGAAGAGAGATACTCCTGGTATTAGGGTATGGATCCTTCTTGCCCTTATTACTGTAGATGCAAATGTATATGACACAAGATTATCTTCTTTCATAAAAACAGTGTTATAAACGAGGGATAAGTTTCCAGGTTAGCCATATATATTCTGTTCTACACTAAAGGGTTGAGATACATTTACAAAAATTTTTGTTAGAGTTGGACGCTAATGATTATGCACCAATATACACACAAACCCATCAATTTATAATACTGTCTCTACTACAAAAAAAAAAAAGTGCATTAAATTGCAAACAACCAAGGAGGCAAAAGTCCTGTATTCAGAAAACTATAAAATACTGATAAAAGAAACCAAAGAGGACACAAACAGATGGAGAAATATACCATGTTCTTGGATGGAAGAATCAATATTGTGAAAATGACTATACTACCCAAAGCAATCTAAGATTCAATACAACTCCTATCAAATTACCAATGGCATTTTTCACAGATTTAGAACAAAAATTTTACAATTTGTATGAAAACAAAAAGACCCCAAAGAGCCAAAGTAATCCTGAGAAAGAAAAACAGAGCTGGAGGAATCAGGCTCCCTGACTTCGGAATCAGGCTCCTTGACTTCAGACAATACTACAAAGCTACAGTAATCAAGACAGTATAGTACCAGCACAAAAAGAGAAATACAAGTCAATGGAACAGGATAGAAAGCCCAGATATAAACCCTCGCATCTATGGGCAACTAGTCTATGACAAAGGAGGTAAGGATATACAGTACAGAAAAAACAAGTGAGTGGTGTTGGGCAAACAAAACAGCTACATGTGAAAGAATGAAATTAGAACACTCCCTAATACCATACACAAAAATAAATTAAAAATGGATCAAAGCTCTAAATGTAAGGCCAGCCACTATAAAACTCTTAGAGGAAAACATAGGCAGAACACTCTGACATAAATCACAGCAAGATTTTTTTTGACCCACTTCCTAGAGTAATGAAAATAAAAACAAAAATAAATGGGACCTAATTAAAGGGCTTCCCAGCTGGCGCTATTGGTAAAGAACCTGCCTAATGATGCAGGAGGCTGCATCATTCTTCTTGGGTCAGGAAGATCCCCTGGAGTAGGAAACAGTAACTCACTCCAGTATTCTTGCCTGGAAAATTCCATGGACAGAGGATCCTGGCAGGCTAAAGTCAATGGGGTCACAAAGAGTTGGACACAACTGAGCACTGCAATTAAACTTAAAAGCTTTTCCACAGCAAAGGAAGCCATAAATAAGACAAAAAGACAACCCTCAGAATGGGAGAAAATATTTGCAAATGAAGCAACTGACAAGGAATTAATCTCTAAAATATACAAACAGCTCATGCAGCTGAATATCAAAAAAGCAACCCAAAATAGGCCAAAGACCTAAATAGATGTTTCTCCAAAGAAGACATAAAGATGGCCAACAAGCACATGAAAAGATGCTCAACATCACTAATTACTAGAGAAAAGGAAGTCAAAACTACAATGAGGTATCACCTCACACCAGTCAGAAAAGCCATCATCAAAAAATCTGCAAACAAATGCTGGAGGTGGTGTGAAGAAAAGGGAGCCATTTTACACTGTTGGTAGGAATGTAAATTGATATAGCCACTATAGAGAACAGGTTCTTTATAAAACTTATCATATGACCCAGCAGTCACACTCTGGGCATATATCTAAAGAAAACCGTAATTCGGAAAGATACATGCACCCCAATGCTCACTGCAATACTATTCACAAGTGCCAAGACATGGAAGCAACATAAATGTCCATCAACAGAAAAATGGATAATGACGTGGTTTATACAATGGAATATTACTCAGACATAAAAAGGAATGAAATTGTGCCATTTGCAGAGATGTGGACAGACCCAGAGACTGTCATACAGAGTGAAGTCAGAAAGGGAAAAACAAATATATATATTGCCTATATGTGGAATCTGGAAAAATGATACAGATTTTTCTGTAGAAATAGACACAAAGATGCAGCAACAAGCATATAGATACCAAAGGAGGAAGGAGGGAAGAGATGAACTGGGAGACTGGGATTGACATAAACACGGTTGCTGTGGTTGTTGTTTAGTCACTAAGTTTTGTCCAACTCTTTTGTAACCCCATGGACTCTAGCTCACCAGGCTGCTTTGTCCATGGAATTCTCCAAGCAACAATACTAGAATGGGTTGCCATTTTCTTCTCCAGGGGACATTCTCAACCCAGGGATCAAACCCCATATCTCCTGCATTGCAGGAAGATTGTTTACCCACTCTATTTATGGGAAGCCCCCATATATACACTACATATAAAATAGGTAATTTAGAAAACTAACTGTATAGCACAGAAAACTATTCAATGTTCTGTGATGACTTAAGTGGGAAGGAAATCCAAAGAAGAAGGAATATGTAAGAATACACAGAAGAACTGTACAAAAAAATTCTTCATGACCCAGATAATCACGAGGGTGTGATCACTCACCTAGAGCCAGACATTCTGGAATGTGAAGTCAGGTGGGCCTTAGGAAGCATCACTGCGAACAAAGCTAGTGGAGGTGATGGAATTCCAGTTGAGCTATTTTAAATCCTGAAAGACGATGCTGTGAAAGAGCTGCACTCAATATGCCAGCAAATTTGGAAAACTCAACAGTGGCCACAGGACTGGAAAAGGTCAGTTTTCATTCCAATCCCACAGAAGGGCAATGCCAAAGAATGTTCAAACTACCGCACAATTGCACTCATCTCACATGCTAGTAAAGTGATGCTTAAAATTCTCCAAGCCAGGCTTCAGCAATACATGAACCATGAACTTCCAGATGTTCAAGCTGGTTTTAGAAAAGGCAGAGAACCAGAGATCAAATTGCCAATATCCGCTGGATCACTGAAAAAGCAAGAGAGTTCCAGAAAAACATCTATTTCTGCTTTATTGACTATGCCAAAGCCTTTGACTGTGTGGATCACAATAAATTGTGGAAAATTCTGANAATTGATGCTTTTGAACTGTGGTGTTGGAGAAGACTCTTGAGAGTCCCTTGGACTGAAAGGAGATCCAACCAGTCCATCCTAAAGGAGATCAGTCCTGGGTGTTCATTGGAAGGACTGATGTTGAAGCGGAAACTCCAATACTTTGGCCACCTGATGTGAAGAGTTGACTTATTTGAAAAGACCCTGATGCTGGGAAAGATTGAGGGCAGGAGGCAAAGGGGACGACAGAGGATGAGATGGTTGGATGGCATCACCAACTCAATGGACATGGGTTTGGGTGGACTCCGGGAGTTGGTGATGGACAGGGAGGCCTGGTGTACTGCAGTTCATGGGGTCATAAAGAGTCGGACACAACTGAGCGACTGAACTGAACAGCTGATCACTTTGCTGTACAGCAGAAACCAACACAACATTGTAAAGCAAATATACTCCAATAAAAATTAATAAAATAAAATAGAAACTCCCAACAACCAACATTCAAATAAGTGACTATTTGAAAGACAAGGGAACACATATTCATTGGATATATACCTAGAAGTGAAATTTGAGTCATAGGGTAAGACTGTTCAAATTTAGTATATAATGCCATTTTTTTCAAAGCTTTGTCAGATTTATATTCTCATAAACACTGCCTAAGCACTCCCACCATTCCAAATCCTTGGTAATGCTGTAGTCTTGTCATAGATTTTAACTGTTCTTGTGGTGATGTAATTATCATTGGGATTTGTTTCTCTATTACTAATGGAACTGAGACCTTTTTATAAGTTTGACCTATTTATATAGCTTCTTGGATGTTCTTCATCAGTATTTGAATTTTTTTCATTTTTATACTGGTTTGTCTACTTCTTAGTGTTGTATAAACGTTCTTTATATATTGCAGATAAAAGTTTCTTGTTGGCTATATGCATTGTAAATATTTCCTTCCAGGTCTGTAGTTACTCTCAGACTGATTTCTTCAGATAGAGAGAAGTATTCTAATCCACTAATCTTTTCTTCACTGTCAATGACTTATTTGTCATGTTTTAAGAAATGCTACCCAACCCACAAACATATAGATATTTTTTTGTATTAGTTGCTCAAAGCTTTGCTACTTCACCATTAATTTTTAGACTATAACCCTTCAGGAACTGATTTTTACGTGTGTTGTGAGGTAGAAATCAAGTTCACTTTCTTCCAT